CAATGATAACTTATTCTTCTCTTGGTTTAGCTCAAGATTAAAAGTCTCCCAGACATTCTCCCTATTCTTTCTCATCAGGCTACTCAATAAACTGTTTTCACTTTCTCTGAGTCCCGTTTGTGTTCTATCCTGGGTGAAGTCAAGGACACTCTTGGCTGGTCCTGCGGGACCCTCCCCTCGGTCCCCAGCCTGCCTGCATCAGATTCACACAGAAAAATCTTGAAAGCTTCAGGAGCACCTGGGGGGCTCAGTGGTTGAGCGAATGCCTTCAGCTCAGGGCGAGATCCCGGGGTCCTGGGATGAAGTCCCGCATCGGGCTCCCTGCGAGGAGCCTGCTTCTCCCTCTGTCTGTGTCTCTGCCTCTCTGTGTCTCTCATGAATAAATAAAATCTTAAGAGAAAGAAAGAAAAAAAAAAAGAAAGAAAGAAAAGCAAGCAAGCAAGCTTCAACCACCTCCATTTAGACCTCAAACTTTCTAATCAATCAGGTTCGGGGGATCCCTGGGTGGCTCAGCGGTTTGGAGCCTGCTTTTGGCCCAGGGTGCGATCCTGGAGTCCCGGGATCGAGTCCTGCATCGGGCTCCCAGCATGGAGCCTGCTTCTCCCTCTGCCTCTCTCTCTCTCTCTCTCTCTCTCTCTCTCTCTCTCTCATAAATAAATAAATAAATCTTAACCCAAGAAAAAAATCACAAAATAATCAATCAAGTTCTTCTTCCCGGCTTACCTCTTACCTGCGGCCAAAGACCCTGCAGGTGAGGCATCCCCTGATGGGAATGAACTAGCCCCTCAAGCACTCAGGACTACCCTGAGCCAGCAAGACCCAGCATGACTGACCCTAAGTCAAGAATCTAAGACAAGGATCGTCCTGAGCTTCACTGCCCACCCACATGCACCTAATCTTTGTTCCACATTTTCCTTATATAAGTATTTTCAGTGCTTTGGACATGGTCTTTGAGAAGCCAGTCCGCTGTCTTCCTGGCATCGGCCTCACTGCAATCAGTTCTTTTCTTGTTTCCCCAACACTCCCCTCTGCATTTGGATTCTGTCTGCAGTGAGTGGCGCTTTTTTTCTTTTTTAAGTAAGTTCTACACCCAATGTGCGACTCAAAATCACAACCCAAGATCAAGAGTCATGTGCTCTACCTACTGAGCCAAGACATCTCAAGAATTCTTTCTTGGTCATCGGCTCCGGACCTCACCCCACCAAGCCTCACCTGCACTCCAAAGCTTCATCACTGGCATAGAGCCCCGAGCTGGGCTCCTCCTCAGCGGGGGGTCTGCTTCTCCCTCTGCCCTCCCCCGACTTGTGCAGGCTCTCTCTTTCTTGTTCTCTCTCTCTCTCTCTCTCTCTCAAATAAATAGTCTTTTTAAAAAATAAATCAATCAAGTAAAATCACACAGGTATTAAATGATAAACCTCACAGAGGAATCCAAAGCAAAACTCCACACCAACCACTACCAACCATGCCCGTGTTCACAGCTTCAAACAGGCAGTAAATGCTGTGAGAATTCCTGCTGTCAAATATAAAACAAATCTCTAACTTTGCCTAATTTTGCCTAACAGCACGCCCACTTATTTCTTCTCCCTGCCTCCAAATCTATAAAGTACTACGAGATCATTGTTTAGACACGTACCTCTACAGTACTTTATAAATGTCTTTAGGCTTCCTTATCACCCGATAATTTTAAGGCATTTTAGGTATGCTTACGAAGGAATTCAAATGTCACATGTTAGGGGCACCTGGCTGGCTCAGCGGTTGAGCGTCTGCCTTCAGCTCAGGGCATGATCCCGGGGTCCTGGGATCGAGTCCCACGTCAGGCTCCCTGCATGGAGCCTGCTTCTGTGTCTGTGTCTCTGCCTCTCTCTCTCTCTCTGTCACTCATGAATAAATAAAATCTTAAATAAATAAAATCTTTAAAAAAAGATCAAAATGGGGGAAACAAATGCAGGTGTGATAACCTTAAAACTCTTAAATGTTATCACAAATTGAATCCACTCACCATATACAATAAAAGTCCAAGTTATAAGTGATTTTCGAAGAAAGTATCTTCTGCAAAGCACAAGGTACATATACACATTATAACTCCATCGTTTAAAAAAAACCCAAAACTTATTTTCCCTTAGAGTCAAGGTGTTATAAAATGAAAACCTGGAAAACTAATTTTATGGATCCATCATTCCAAAGATACTTTTCCTAGTTTCAAGATGGCAATGCCCTATCTGCTTCTTCCTCTTGAAAATCATCCCTCCCTTACCCCAAAAAAGAAAATCAACAAAAATACACAGGAAACTCAAAAGCCAACTCTAACTTCAGGGCCACCAGGAGGTAGGTACACCAGTTAGCTATGATGACAGCGGGGAGAGCAGATGGAGAGATTGCAAATGACCTGGTAAAGGAAGGTCAAATCTGAAAGCTTGCATCGGGAGAAACCCGTTACCCACGTAGATCCCCAGAAAGGCTCAAGAATGGCAGGGACAGGGCGCCTGGGTGGCTCAGTGGGTTAAGCATCTATCTGCCTTGGGCTCAGGACATGATCTCAGGGCCCTGAGATCCAGCCCCGCATAGGGCTCTGTGCTCAGCAGGGAGTCTGCTTTCCTAGTGCTCACTCTCTTTTTCAAATAAATAAAATCTTAAAAAAAAAAAAAAAAAAAAAAAAACCCTGCAGGCCCCAAATACAGAAGGCAGAAGACAGTCCTAGAGCTGGAAACCGAGAGAGGTTCAAAGTGCTGGGATGCAGCAATGATAAAAACTGGATACAACTCCTGTTCTGGTGGAGCTAATATTTTTGAGGATGTAAACAAAAGTGAAACGTCTAGGTGCAGGGAATGGGGAGTAGGCTGTGTTGCAGGGGGCAGGGGAGGACAAAATTTAAAGAGTACTTAAGGTTCTCACTAAGGTGACATTCAAAAAAAGATCAAGGGGAAGGATTGTGTGGATATCTGAAACAGTGGGAATTTGCAAAAGGTTCATGCTGATTTTGTGATGGAGAAAAAGTAAAATGGTGCAATGGCTTGAGAGATGCATGATTGGTGCTCGCCCATAACTGGTGGTCTCTCCTGTCTGCGCATCTGAAGGAAACAAGCTTCTCACTCCCATGCCTGCCAGTTTTAGCACCATGCAATTAGTTCTAGCTAATGGAACATGAATGCAAATGATGTGCTGGGGCATTAGTAGCTGTTGGGGGCTTTCCAGTGTCTTCAGTTTCTAAGAACTCTGTAAACGAGCAATGTTAGATAGCATCACAGCATGAAGGTAGCCTGCCCCTGCATTGCCAGGGGAGGAAAGGGTTGCTGATAGAGAGTTAATTTTGAGAGAGCAAAAAAAAATTTTTTTTGGTTAAGACTGGAGGTCTCAGGGTTTCTTAGGAGGATTTATTTATCCAGCTAATACACGGCCTAAGAGGGATGCTCGGGTGTCAGCTGTTGAGTATCTGCCTTTGGCCCGAGTTGTAATCCCGGGGTCCTGGGATTGAGTCCCACATCGGGCTCCCTGCAAGGAGCCTGCTTCTCCCTCTATGTCTCTGCCTTTCTATGTTTCTCATGAATAAATCTTTAAAAAAAAAACAATACACGGACTGAGGGAGGAGACCAGGTGAGAAGGTACTATTACAGGGATCAGGTGAGAATGGTGGTGGTACAGAAGAGGGGGGACAAAGTGGACTCTGGATAGTCTCAAAGTTGAGGCAATGGGCTGTTCGAAGGTTACTATACGGAATAGTTAACCCCTTTCCCAAACCTCGGCTACCACTTCCCAGCTCCTTGCAGCTGCATTACCAGTTACCCTTCCTCCAACCTCTCCTGCCCACCTGGCCTGCCACCACCACCAATCCCTACCAGAGAAGACAGGAGGTGGAGCTTCTGAAGAAAACTGGAGAAGTGACTCAGGGATGATGTAGAAATCTCCCAGGTAATGGTTTTCTAAGTCTTCATTTCTGTGTGTTTTTTTTTTAATTTTTAATTTATTCCCGCGAGACACAGAGAGGCAGAGATATAGGCAGAGGGAGAAGCAGGCTCCCTGCGGGGAGCCCCATGTGGGACTCAATCCCAGAACCCCAGGATCACACCCTGAGCTGAAGGCAGATGCTCCACCACGAGCCACCCATGTGCGTTTGCAGAACATTGTAAATACCTTTAAGCAGTCAGCACAATGGCCAATAGCCTTTTGCCCCCTTCAGATACACCAAGCTACTTCCCATTTGCACCAGCTGTTCTCTATTGAAGCTACCCCTAGAACCCCCACCAGATGCCTGCTTCTCCCTTCTCCACCCCAGGAGGATGAGCTGCCCCCCCCACCCCCCACCAGGACATCTGCATCTCTAGAGAGCCCTGGCTGAGTGGCTTCCAGTAGCATTTGGTCAATAGGCAGCACCAACAGATCCAACAAAGGGTATTTCTGACTCCATATCCTGGCACTGCATCTCAGGGATTAGCTGCCTCCCACAGTGAGCCCAGCTCCCAGCAAGGGAGCCTTCCTTAATGTCTCTTTCTCCCCCAACACCTAGGAACATGACCTCCCCTGGCCATCCTTGCTCTGGAGGCAGTCATGGCTTCTGGCTGTGGGTAGTCTTACCAAGGCCTCATCCTTACTTGTTCTTCAAGGTGGCTCACATCTCTAAGTAACCCTCTCATTAATATTTCAACTGAACCCTCCAGGCCGAATGCTATTTCCTGCCCCAACTCTGACCAGTTCGCCATCTCCAAGCCTTTTTAGGCAACTTGTTTTCTCTACCCAGCACACGCTTCACTCAGCTCTTTGTACAGCCAGCTCCTTCCAGTGGTGTCAAACTTCTAGTGCCTCCTCAGAAGGGCTTCCCTAACCACTGAGTCTACCAGAGCCCATTCTTCTAACACTCTCTAGCACTTTCCATTTCCTCCAAAGGAAGCTCCTAAGAGCAGGAACTTGGGTGGGCAGTCTTGTTCACCTTGTATCCAGTATACCGCACAATGTCTCAGAAACAACAGGAGTTTTTGTAAATAAAGGAACTGGGTTCCAAATCAAACTTAACTAAATTCCTTCAAGTTTATTTGTGAAAGGCAAGAGAGTCCCCAGAAAAAATGTCAGTTCTCAGGATGTTAGTTGCAATAAGCACGTGAAGATCCTTTAAAAGGAATGCACACCTGCCTTGTAGAACAATTTCTTCAGCATATTCTTGCCTTTAACAGTTCTCCACTTTTTGTAGCAATGCCACGATCAGTGATATTCCCACACGGGACACACTCCTGGGGTCTAATCAGATGACGACCTAGAGTGTTTTCAATGCCTCGGAGATAGCTCTGATTCCTACTACTTTCCAGAAAGCAACTGCAAATATGAGAATTAAGTTATTATACAGTAACACAGGAATAGCCTGGAACTGATTTTTTCTAAAAATTAAGACCCATCAAGCACAAATAACATTTAATTGCAACACACAACCACCAGAGCCCAAAGGCCCAAGAGTATGAATGTGACCTAAAGAAAAACTCATCTGATCCAAAATCTGATTATGGAGCAGAAAAGGAATAGGAGACAATCTGATCAATTAGCTGAAGTAAATGAATTTTCATGTTAAGCTTTTCTAATGATCACTTCGACAAGAATTAGAGCTAGTTAAGTACATGCCCCAAATAATTTTACATAAAATCTTAGCTCTAAGTTAATATATTCAGCTGAACATGTCTTTATCAATGATTTTATTTCCATTTTCCACATAAATATACTGAGAATTCCCAGAATGCAGCTCAATAATTACATGTATTTCAATTTTTATTAAAAATGAAAGAAATCCAGGAGAATTATTTCTATACAACTATACAATGTTTTACGTGCCTTCCCTATTCCTATTAAAGCTTTATGTTTCAAATGTCTACATGATATGTGCTTACACAGGCTTGAGATTCAAACTTTATCACACACATGACATTAGCAGCCTTAATGCACAATCACCCACATAACACAGTGTATGTGTTTAGTTCAGCCTATGTCATAAAGTGCTATTCATTGGTGGGAAAGTAACAAAGCCTACTCAATACTGAACTTCACCACAGTATTTCCTACTTGAGTTGGGGGAAGAAAAGCTAATTTGATGCTACCAGCCTAAGTAATAGATTTCCATTTAAAAATACATATGAAAAACAAACAAATAAGGAAACCAAATAAGGCCTGAGGTTTTGGTTGGTCTATCAAAATAGATCAAAAGCATTTCAAAATCATTAGTGCTATGATATATAAAAGTCTAGTTTCTGAACGTTTTAATGTCCAAAAAATGAGCAGTCTAAATAAAAACCATCTAAGTTAAAGATAGCTTTCAAAAATGAATGTAAAATTTCAATTAAAATATTAATTCTGCAAATCAGAACTTTTAAAAGGGTACAGTCACTATGATTTTTGTTATTATTCCTCAACAACTAGATTTGTATTTTACTTACTTTTACAAAAGCTTATTACCAATGGACCACAGAAAATAACATCCAATGACCAGTTACTCTACATTTTAGAATAATTTAATGACATTAAAGATATATCATGAACTTTCCAAACATGTAAACATAAAACAGGACAATCTGATATATAATAATGGTGCCAAAAAATGAAAATCATAGGACACGATAAGAGAGCAAAAGAACAACTATGCCAAATATCAGTGTATCTTCACTACTATTTGTGAAAAATAAATTATTTGGTATTTTCATTGAGTAAGTAGCTCAGATATTTTCACTGAGTAAGAAAAACTGAAGAGAAATTTTAATGAAGTGAGAAGTTTTGTGTGTTAGCCAAGAACTTTTGTGTTTCCTGCCAAAAACAAAAACAAAAACAAAACCATGTTCAACTACACATGCAGGAATGGGCATCACAGCTAAGGAAACTCTTAAAAATATCCTTAAAAATACAATTTGTAGTCTTAAAAGAAAAAAAAAAAACAATATTCATTTCCCAGGGAATATACTCTGAATCTCAGTTATACACCTCAAAATACATTAATTCTCCATTTAAATATACTACCGTTTGTCTGGTCTTTTTACCTATCTCTAACTTGTTTTCCTATGAAAAACATATGCAAGACACAAGGCTAAGTACTAATTTCAATCCATAAGGCATCTAAAAAATATCTTTTTTTAAAGACAAACATGATACAAAATGAAAAACCAAACACAACACAAAAACATAATAATAAATACTTTTGAATCCCTTCCCCGCCCTCAAAAAGAAATGTGCCTATCAGCAACATGGCTGACATAAATAAATTAGATTTCCTGTTCATAAAAAAAAGAAAGACAATCCAGTTACAGAGTCAACCAGGAGAGTATCTTGACTCCCATGGCTTGTGAAAGGCAGGACAATGACACGGAAGAGGCAAAACTGTTTAGGGTTTCTGATTTAAGAAGAAACACACACAAAAACAAGTGTGGTCACAGACTACTTAGATGATATGTAATTAGTTACGAAGGTTACACCAAGGCATTATTCTGCCCCCCTCTTCCACCCTAAGTCACATCAGATGCTTAATCTACATGTGCTCTTGGTATTCTAGATACTTTGCCGTGATGGGTTCCTCAAGTTGAATTCCTCCACTGCCCATTAATGCAAATGCTGGGTACATTGTGTGCGAACAGTCCACCTGACGCTCATAAAGGCATTTCATGTGATCCATGTCATAGAAAGCCACTCTGCCTTTATCATAGTCAAGGAAAATCCCTATACTTGTTGGCATGGGAAGAACCCTATTCTCAGGTTCATTGGCAGAAGTGGCTGACTTGGGTATGAAAAACTTCTTCATGCCTATGGTGACCAGAGTGAATGGCTGGGAAGAATCAAAGCAGGCATCTTCACTTCCGCTGTCATGGCCGCTGTCTTGCTCATATCTAGAACACAATACACAAAGCAGTCTTAGCTCTGTCATCATCCACAAAGCATTTTCATGAGATAATACACATCGCTTTGAAATTAGACTGTGTGTCAAAAACTCTCTATTAAAACACAAATCAATTAAAAATATCTGGACTACGCATTGCCATTTAGAAATTATACCAGAGACTCAGCCCCAAATTCCCTGTCATGAAATATCATAAAACATCTCTATATACATGCAGATAAGAAAAATAATAAAAACCTATAAAATAATTCAAGACTCTGGCCTATCAAAAATGAACTAGGGGAGGGACGCCTGGCTGGCTCAGGCCGTGGAGCACTGGACTGTTGGTCTTGGGGTAATGAGTTCAAGCCCCACATTGGGAGTAGAGATTCTTTAAAATAAAATAGATAATAATAAAATGGGGGGAGAAAACTGAAGAGAACTGTCACAGATTAAATTAAATGTGTGCCCTAATACAAGGAATTACCAACTTAGAGTGAAATACAAAACAATGCAGGAGAAAAAGTCACATTTCATGGTTCTAAGGACCCTATTTCTGGATTGGGATTTCTACATGGATCTAGGTAAGCAAGCAGGAAGGTTTCTTTCCCAATATCATACAACAGTAGCAGCTTATATAAATTTTTGATACAAAGGTTCTTCCATTTTCTTCTTATGCATAGTTTACTTTTTATATATTTGTAATTATACTAAATCAATGCTTTTAATTGGGTTTTCTCACTTCTAATATTTTTTTCTCACTTCTGATATTTCCGATGTTACAAGCTCTTTAAAACATTATTAATACTAATATTCTATCAATATTCTAGGCCTGTGGTACTATGTTTAATTAACCATGTCCTGGTTAAAATTTCTCACACGTGTGCAAAAAGCTTTTTCTATCAACTCAGATGATTAACTGGGGATTCTGTTCACACCAGGGGTCAAACATTATCTATGTGGGCCAGTAGACCTTATACCATCTAAAACAACGAAACCATATGAACTCAGTCAAATAACCAATCTCTTAAGAAACTGGAATTCTTTGATGTGGAAACCTGTTTACCATGACCCAATTTTATCAAGTACTTACAGGGGTGTTTAAAGAAATTGTGTCCCATAACACAAGAACAAATTCTTATCAATTCTGAACTATGCGGGGGCATCTGGATGGCTCAGTGGTTGAGCTTCTGCCTTCAGCTTAGGACATGACCCTAGAGTCCCAGGATCCAGTCCCACATTGGGTTCCCCGCAGGGAGCCTGCTTTTCCCTCTGCCCGTGTCTCTGCCTCTTTCTCTGTACCTCTCATGATTAAATAGATAAAATCTTTAAAAAATTCTGAACTATGGCAACTAGAAGCACTTCACCATCCATGTGAGTAATTTTTATTACAGAATTAAGGTAACTGATACAAGAAACTTTGAAAATTTAAAACAGCAAGGCACAGTCAAGAGGTATCCAAAACAGGCTCAGTTCCTCATGGCACCAGAAATTAACCACTAAGTCTCATTAGTCACCGTGGGAATGTAAGCCAACCTGGCTCCTTTCCTTAGCCAGCCACCTTGGCACACCTAGAGCACCTGACTCTAAGGAATGCACTCCAACTGCAATAAGTAAACCCAAGTGGATTTCCAGTCTTGCTAAACACAGATATTTACTTTTATTGTATTTTTTAAATTTTATTTATTTATTTGTGAGAGACAAGGAGAAACAGGCTCCATGCAAGGAGCCCCATATGGGACTAGATCTCGGGACTCTGGGATCACACCCTGAGCCAAAAGCAGACGCTCAACTGCTGAGCCACCAAGGCGATCCCAGATATTTACTTTTAAAAGAATCATTGAGTCCTAGATCAGTACAAGAACCTACCTTGGACTAACTGCATCCCGGGGAGACCGGAGCCACTCCTGTAGCTTATCACTGGAAGCAACTCCTGCTTTTACCAGGTACGAATACGGCTCCACACGGAAGGCCCAGAAGTGCTTCCCCTTGGTAATCCCAACGTCTCCAATGATATAGTCCAAGCTTGTGTAATAACCCACTTGGATTCGCTCTGCAGCGAGCAGGAGATTAAACCCGGCTCTGCTCTCCACGCGGTCTCTCTTCAGGTTCAGCAAGAGGTGTTCATTATTATAGCCACATTTCTCATCAAAGAGGAAACTGAAAACTGTAAAGAGACCTTAAAATTAGCCTGATCACTACGTAATTGCATTTCTGTAATTGGTGGTTAACACGATCGGGCTCTGAACCAGAAATGTCTGAAAAAGCTGTGAAGAGGCACGTTTCACAATACCCTTGACAAACTGACAAACCAAATCCTTGACTGGAAAATCACTTCCAATAGATTCTCTCTACCTGAACGTCCTCAGAAATATCAAAAGGCAGAAGGAAGTATTTTAAGCATATGAGAAAACCAATGAGTGTGGTTCCTTGCAACAGATACAGATCTCTTCTAAATATTTTACAAGTGGATCTGTCCCTTTTCTCCTTAAAACGAGGGGTTGTACATTTTCATAATTATCAATACATTTTCCTAAACATGTATTCCACATTTTATAAATTTGGAAAACATGAGCAATTGTGATAGAGGCTTTTCCTTATCCATCAACATGGCAGACATGAGACATGGTGCATGGTATTTTAAAAAGGCAAAGGTTTTGGGGTTAGAGAGATGACAGTTTTAATTCCTGCTCAAGGATTTAAATGGAGTTTTTTTTTTTTAAGATTTTATTTATTTACTTGACAGAGAAAAAGTGAGCATGAGCAGGGGAAGAGGCAAGCAGAGGGAGAGGGAGAAAAAGATGCCCCAGTGAGGAGGGAGCCCAATGCAGGGCTCGACCCCAGGACCCTGGGAATCACGACCTGAGCCAAAGGCAGACACTTAACCCACTAAGCCACACAGGTGCCCCTTAAATGGAGTTTAACAGAACTTTCAATTTCTTCAACCACAGATTGGACATTGCCACTCTCCTGAGTCTCTATCAACTCATATCCATTAAGCAAGGACATTGGCTGTTAGCCCCAAAGTGGAAACAATTCAAAAGTCCATCAACACATGAATGGATAAATCCAAACAGTGGAATAGTATTCAGCCTAAAAAGGCAAGGAAATTCTTGGTTCATGCTTCAACATGGTTGAAGCCCCAAATATGCCAGGCACAGAAGGATTATTAGAATCCACTTCTACGAGGTACAGACAATGAAGAGTTATTATCAATCCACTTCTATGAGGTACAGGCAACTCATAAAGACAGAAAGTAGAAAAGAGGCTCCAGGCTCTATGGAGAGGAGGGATGGGGAGTTTGTGTTTACTGGGCACAGAGTTTCATCTGGAAAAAAATGAAGACATTCTAGAGATGTGAGTGGTGGTGGCTCTACAACAGTGTGGATGTACTTAATGTCACAGACCTGTACTCTTAAAAATGGTCAAAATGGTAATTTTTAACTGTATCATGATTTAAAAAAAAAAAGTCTACGAAGCAAGCTAAAGTCATTCTCCATACATAGGCTGACCATTCTTCCTGGTAATGTCTGTTGTCCTGCCATAATAATTCCTGCTTCCAATCTCAAGCCTCCCCATTTGCAAATTGTATTTTTTTTTAAGATTTTATTTTATTTGATAATGTGCGCACATGCACAAACAGAGGGGAGGGACAGAGGGAGAGGGAGAAGCAGGCTCCTCACTGAGCAGAGTCAGACCCAGGACTCGACCCCAGGGCCCCGGGATCATGACCTGAGCTGAAGGCAGATGCTTAACCAACTGAGCCACCCAGGCACCTGGCAAAATATATTTTAATGGTCTCCCAATTCACACAGCTCCTCTCAGAGAAAAGCTAATCAACTTTGGGGGCACCCGACTGGCTCAGTCAGTGGAGCATGCAACTCTTGATCTCAAGGTTTTGAGTTGGAGCCCCACAGTGGGTGTGGAGATTCCTTAAAAATAAAATCTTAAATTAAAAAAAAAGACAACTTTGAACATGTCCTTTCTTGCTTCCCCTTCCACATCGCTATTTAAAACAGCAGCTACTTCCAGGTTTTTTTTAATTCCACTTTCAGTCAGAGAGATGAGAAAAGAAAGGGGAAACTGAATAGATGATAAAAAGGCAAATTCATTTAATATTTGCAAATCCATCCTCAGACTCTACTGGATTTTATTCAAATTGAAAGAAGACAATTTTAGCCAACCCTAATTTGTATCTGTATTCTCTTTTTTTTTTAATTGGCCACAACGTGCATGAAAAACAAGTAGTGGTCTGCTATGGACAAAAGGGGAAGGAAAGACAATAGTGTACAAAAGACGGCACATAAAGCCACTAAACCCAGGCAGGGGCAATGGAGTCTGAGATCCAACTGGAGGCACCTGGCAGGCAGTGACAACAGGCCACAGTGTCTTCCTGCTAAAGCAGAAACAAGTACAGCCTTGGTTTTGCGTGTCCCTTGTCTATGGAGAACCTGCGGAGACCCCACCTGGCGATTCTCATTCTATAAAAACCCACAGGCGCTCTGTAAGGAGCAGCAGTGGTTTCTGACTCGGAAGGCAGGGGAAGTGGGTGGGTGTGGGGACTCTAAGTGTGGGAGGCACAGCTACCATGTGGTTCTCATAGATGCCCTTCACCCCCACGGGCCGGGAATCGCAGAGATAGAAAATCCAGACAGGTCAGAAGGAGGTTAAGTGAATTAGTGTTTCATATTAGAACAGTAATTTTTCTACAAATCTACCAGGGTCTCGGTTATAGAGCTTTCTATCAACTTATCAGAAATATGGAATTATACTATTTAAACTTGTAAGGTGGCACTGATGCTATTTTAATCTCAAATTAATAGCCCCGCTCACTCAAATGACTTCATGTTTTTCTATTATCTGATGTCAGGCCAAACTCGAATCCTGTTCCCAGCCTATCTGGTGAAATTCATGTATTCGGTCTATTTCTAAATTTTTTTTTAATTTTTTATTTATTGATGATAGTCACATAGAATGAGAGAGAGAGAGGCAGAGACACAGGCAGAGGGAGAAGCAGGCTCCATGCACCGGGAGCCCGACGTGGGATTCGATCCCGGGTCTCCAGGATCGCGCCCTGGGCCAAAGGCAGGCGCTAAACCGCTGCGCCACCCAGGGATCCCCGGTCTATTTCTAAATCCTTGCTGAGGATGCAATCTATTTTCTAGATTTTTTTTTTTTTTTAACACACAAGAGCTGGTTTCAACGCAGGTCTATCTAGAGGCACTGGCTAGGTTATTTTTTTTATCAAGGTCCTTCCAACTCTCTGGCATTTTGATTCCCAGTATTCGCAATACCTGGAGCTGGTGGAGTATGAAGAATCAGCTCCCTGCTGCAAGGACTGCAGATTGAACCCTTGTAGGCTCTTACTCTGAAAGCATAGTTACAATTGCTTTCCAGATCTGAAATGACTTTACTGGTGCCACACACTTCTATCTCGTTCCAAGACAGCATTTCTTCATCTCTGTTAATCTTCCGATATTCGAGGACATAGCTATCAGCTTTATCCTTTTCTGGATGGTACCAACTTATCAGAGCATTGTTATAAACTTTGCTCTGTTCCTCGTTGATCTCTGGCACGTCTATGCCTGAAAGTGTTAAGAAACAAAAAATGTTAAAATATCGATACATATTGGAATCTGGACATTCCTCAATAAAAACGAGGTACTGACAATACTTCAGTCATTTCTGTACTGTCCAAGTGTTTTCCAAAGTTGCAATACTATGTATCAGAGAAAGAGTAATTCTGGCAATGTACAACAGCATGGATGGATCTTGTGGAATTGAAAACTGAAATAAGCCAGACATTGATTGAGAGACATAATACTAACTGCATGATGCCACTCCATGAGGAATCTAAAAGACCTGGATTCACAAAATCAAAGACTGGAATGCTGGCTGCCAGGGGCTGGGTGAGGGAGAAATGGGCAGTAATTAATCAGGAGGCATAAAGTATCAGTCAAGCAAGATGAATAAACTCTAGAGATTTCAGTACTCAGTCAACAACACTATATTCCACACTTAGAACAGATCTCAAGGCAAGTACTCCTCCCACAAAATTTACAATGACAAACAATAAGCAATAAGGATTTTTAAAGATATATTTAGGTTGATAACTGAAAGGGCGAAGGATGAAAAGACAAAAAAATATTCAGTTTCAGCTTTACATGTTATATTAATTCTGAAACACCATAAATTACAGTTTTTAACCATTTGCCTTTAACTTCGACTTACTAACAGCACCAGACTTGACATTTTTAATCTGTGTCCTATAATAAATATTTTTAAATCTAAGTTTGGTGAGTATAACAAAGTTCAGTGAAACATTATACACAACTTTCATATTTTCTTCAAAGAGTTGTAAAGCAATTTAAATAAATTTTTCTTGGCATAAACATGATACATAATATTTTTTTGTAAGAAAATCAGAAACTTCATAAGACACACTTTAAGTAACCTGAAGATAATCACTACAATAATTTTATACAGATCCTGCCAGTTCTTTTCTCCCAATGGCATTACGCTCCATGGCTATATCAACATTTTAACAATTTTCAGAAATATGTTTCTAGTTTTTTTTTCATGAAAAATACAATACAAAAAGTTATCGCAGCTGAAGCTTTGTGCATATGTATAATCCCTTCCATAGAAGAAATTCCAGTAAGCTTAACTGCTTGGGACAAGCTATAAAAGTCACACACACATAACACATATTTATATCAAATGAGAGATTCTATGAAATGAAAATAAAAGTCTCCCTCTGGCCTCCCCCAGACATATATAAGCAAAAGAGAAGCATGTCTGGATATGGTACATTCATGCAACTGAATGTTCTACAGCTATAATGAGATCTGGAAAGTCATTCAGAATATATTTGGTGAGGGAGGGGAAAAAGCTAGCTAAAAAATAACTTGACATGTATACTCCACCCCACGCCCCTTTCTTTCTTTTTTTTTTTTTTGAAACATAGCTTACTAAAAAATGTGCATGCAGGAAAACGAGACCATCCATCAGTCAGAAGCTGGGTAACTACTTTTCATCCTCATCCATCTGCTCTGCTGGTTCTTTTGGTTAGACACTGGTCCTACCCAAGATCAACCTTCACCATCATCCTTCCAAGGACTGTTTTGGGACCCCCCACCACCACCCAGGGGAGATAGGACCTTGTACTCCTAAATAAACTGGCTTGTATATGGAAAACAATTCAAGTTTACATTACATGAAGTAGAATCAGCATTTGAAAGAGTAACAAGTACAGATATGGGAAAACAAGATTGTCATAATAAACAAGACAAGCACATATCCGGGGGTGCATAGTGGGCTCAGTCAGTTAAGCAACTGGCTCTTGATTTCAACTCAGGTCATGATCTCAGGGTCCTGGGATCCACCCACATGTCAGGCTCCTCACTCAGTGAGGAGTCTGCTTGAGGATTCTCTCTCTCTCTCCCCTTCCCCCTCTGCCTCTCTGCCTTTGTGTGCTATCTCTCTAAAATAAATCTTAAAAAAAAAAAAGATAAGCACATATCTGCAAGAAGATTCAGGTATAGATTCGAAAGAAAGTAAGTCATAATAATAATAATAATCCTTTAGAGTTTTAGCTTTAAAACTTTCTTTCCCCCTTTTTTTAAAGTAGGCTCCACTCCCAGCATGGAGCCCAATGTGGGGCTTGAAGTCACAATTCTGAGATCAAGAGCTAAGATCAAAACACTCTAACTAAACCCCAAGTGCCCCAAGAATTTTTAACTTTTAATGGGACAAATTTCCTCCAGGTGACTGTACAAATCTACACATTGATGCCTCTACAGTCATCAAACTCTATACTATTCTAAGGACTATTAATTATCCACCATCACTAGAAGAGAAATTGGAGGGAGATACGAACAGGGTGAGAAGGGAAAAAGTAAAGGAAGACCTCCCTGCTGGGGAACAGCAAAACACAAGCATAAGTGAGTGCTATGGCCCCAAAATTCATATGCTGGGGTTCTAATCCCCAGGACCTCAGAATGTGACTTTATTTGGAGAAAGAAGTCTTTAGAGGTAATTAAGTTAAAATTAAGTCACAAAGATGGGCCCTGATCCCACCATGACTAATATGACTGATATCCTCAGGAAAAGAAATTTCAGAAGACCATGTGAAGGCTCTGGAAGGTGGCCATCGGCAAGTCAAGGAGAGAGGCCTCAGAAGACACCAGCCTGCCAACACTTCTGCTGTTGAAGGCATGCCGTCTGTGGAATTTTGTTTCGGCAGCCCTAACAAACTAACACAGTCAGGTAAACACACATCTCAGAGTCAGTTTTAGCCTGGAAACATCATTTCTAGGTTTCCGCCCTAGAGAAACTCACAAACATGCGCAGAAAGTAACACTGATGAAGATGCTCAACACAGCAGTTGTTTACAAAGGAGAAAGAAGAGAAACAAATGGTCTCTCGGTAGGGAAACGATTTCTATACTGAAATACAATGAACAGCTAAAATATAGACCGGAACTCCGTGTAGTAACAAATATCTTCAACTTCATCTTCTGAACAATTCACAAAAGGGATGCACATGCAACGTGATGCCATTTAGACAGTGTTTAAAAACCACACAAGCCAACACAATACACTTTCTGTGCATAAAAACACGGTCTTTCGTCCTGTCAAACCGAAGCATGTGTTTCTCCCACGTCACGAGAACCCAGATTACAAGAGCAAGCTTTTGCAGTCATCTCAAACTTACCACTAGAGAAGAAAGACAATTCTCCAAGAAGTTCTGTTTGTTTAGATGTATTAACAACATAGTCTTCAAAAGAAGTCTGAGCCGCAGGTCTAAAGCTCTTCAAAGATTCCGTAGCTTTCTGTATTCTGCAGACAGATACAGTTTATGTAAAAATAACTCGTTAAAAGGCCAATCGGACTAAACATCTGCAATGTGATTAAAACAAAAGACTTTGCTCTTCACATGCAGGTTAAGTGTGCAGCAGGTGTGCGCACAGAGCGCAGCCTTAGGAACCCCTGAGAGTTTGGGATGAAACAGAGCATTTAATGACATTGCCATGGAGATTCTAAATCCAAAGCAACATACCTGAGGTGGAGTTGTTTCGCTGTCTGCACGAAACAGGACTGATCTGTCTCCTTCAGCACTTCTTGGGCATAGCCCACAAGCCCACTGTTCTCTAGAAGCCCCTGATACTCTTCCACTTGAGTCTGAAATTTGTCTAATCTTAGTTTCTTAGAAGCATCAATTGCTTTCAAAACAGATGATTTCCTCTCTTCTAGAATTTCAAAGAGCTTTTCAAAATGTGTGATGGCTTCTTCTTTCGCTCTTTCTCCGTTACACTATTATTAAACAAGCAAAGAGTTACCTCATCTGCTAAATCCAAATGTCTTTTCTCAAAATAACCAACATTTAATTTTGTCTGAGACTGACATCTTCAGAACAATAATTTGGCATCAACTACACTGAGCAGGGGGCATGATCACCAGCTTTTATTTAGACATCCTTTCTAATTTTATGATACTGTACTCTCCGCAAGTTTTACTCTCCAAAGTTCAGCAATAAACAAACAAACAACCTGCAACATTGTATACAAGGGAACTGAAGGCAGAAATTAACTGATTTATTTTATTTTTATTTATTTATTTTATTTTTATTTATTTATGATAGTCACAGAGAGAGAGAGAGAGGCAGAGACACAGGCAGAGGGAGAAGGAGGCTCCATGCACCGGGAGCCTGACGTGGGATTCGATCCCGGGTCTCCAGGATCGCGCCCTGGGCCAAAGGCAGGCACTAAACCGCTGCGCCACCAGGGATCCCAAATTAACTGATTTATAAACAAAGACACAGTATAACACAATTCTGGAGTTTTTAATTGATTTTTTAAATATTTTTTATTTTATTTAAAACAATTTTTTTAGAGTTTTTGATCTCTAATTCAGGTTACTTTTGACCTTTTCTATGCTTTTTCAATTTTTTAAGAAAAATGTTAAATCACAGCTATGACACTCAGGAAAATGATGTCCTTAACTAAGAAGAGTGTGACTCTTCTCTTTGAATGGATAGAATTGAATTAGAATTAAATCCTGTGTGACTTTATGCAAACTATGGAACTTCTGTATGCTTAAGTTTTCCTCTTCTGAAAACAGGGGATGAGAGAACCCGTTTGGGTTTTAAGGGGCGGGGTTGTGGGGGGTTTTGTGTTTTTTTGAAAAGATTTCATTTATTCATTCATGAGAGACACAGAGACATAGGCAGAGAGAGAAGCAGGTGCCCCGTGGGGCGCCCAATGTGGGACTCAATCCTAGCACCGCAGGATCACGACCCAAGCCAAAGCCAGACACTCAACCACTGAGCTACCCAGGCATCCTTGGGCTTTTTTTTTTTTTTTTTGAAGACTGAAAAATATTATTTACATAAAATGCCTACCACAATGGCACATACGCTGTACACACAGTATTATTATACTCAGCACGCAGCTCTTCCTCTACTTTGTCATAAAATGACCCTGTCTGTAGTGCTTATGAAACATTTTGAATGTCCATAAAATCAGAGACCAACTTGATTTTGAAAATAAGACCAGCAGAGCACACATATGCCACCATCATCAGAGACCCATAAGCAGCAGCCAACAGAAAAAAAAAAAAGTCTTCAAACACATTCTTAAAAGCTGACAACATATGGAAGAAGTGCATTGTGCACTTTCCAATGGCTTCTGGCCAACATTTCTAATGAAAGGAAATTTTTTCCAGATTCCCTTCTCTGCTTCCTAAACCCAACAGGCAAAAAAAAAAAAAAAAAATTTAAAGGGTGGGCAGGAGGGAAAGAAGGTTGGGGGACAGAGGGTGGTGACATTTTGGTAGCTGAATTTCAGTGATACATCACAATATTAAACTCAAAAGATCATTGCACACAGGTAAAAAGGGTGATTTTTACCAGCTAAGTGTAACTATATAGAAAAAAAGAAAGTGTCGCAGTCCTCACCGAGTAAAAGTCAAGAATGCAGACCAATTCTCCAGTGTGTGAAAGATTCTTGCTAACAGGCTCACAGAGGTAGCTTAGGTCAAAGGTACATAAGAAAGCTAAAAATTTCTCCAGGATCCCAAGGACTCGGTGTCTGCATGAATACTGATGGGAGAGTTCCTCAGTTTTCAGCCTACTGAATCACAAACTCAGCAATGGGTACTGAGGATCCCTTGTTTCAGGGATACAGCATGACTGAGGACCAGTAGTAAAAGAAACCTAAAATGACCAAAGATTCAATCCCTGAAGCAACCTCCTATGGAGGTGATTATCTGCCAAGGGCCGGGGGGTTGTACCACAGTGAGAGAGCTGGTCCATCAGACAAAAAGAAGTACAACAAAGTCCCACTTTGCAAGTACCTGAAAAAACAACTTACTCAGCCTGGGGAATGCAATCAGCCAGTAGCAGAAAAAGAGTATTAAGAACAAGAGCAATGCTGGCGATATGGCACTAATTTGCATAATTTCCCAATTTTTTTTTCACTCATTTTGGAAAATAAAATTTCAAGCAATTAACAGTCTCATACTAGCCAAGATATTTTTATATTTCATTGTTAACTTCTAAAGTGACCAGGAGTAATGGCTCTTCAGTTATTTCAAAGAGAGAAAAGGAACAGGCAGCAAAATCAATGCAGAGTATTTGGAATTTTTTTTTAAATTTTTATTTATTTATGATAGTCACAGAGAGAGAGAGAGAGGCAGAGACACAGGCAGAGGGAGAAGCAGGCTCCATGCACCGGGAGCCCGATGTGGGATTCGATGCCGGGTCTCCAGGATCGCGCCCTGGGCCAAAGGCAGGCGCCAAACCGCTGCGCCACCCAGGGATCCCCAGAGTATTTGGAATTTTAAAACAACCCAGTCCTTATCATCTTTTACTTGATTTTTAAAATGCTGTCAATTTTCTCCATTTTTAATTGAAATATATAATATACAAACAGAAAAAATATATATTTAAGTATGGAGATCGACCAATCTTTGCAAACACACACATGTAGCCCACATCCCAGGAAAGTAAAGGAGTATTATCTGGATCCCAGACGCCATCCCTTAGAACCTTTCCAGACACCCACCCTTCCCCTCCTCACCTTTCAACAATGCCTATCCTGAATTCTAATAAGAAAGTCCAGTTTTACCTTTTTTGGTACTTTTTATAAAGGGGAATCACATAGTTGTTATTCCTTTGTCTCTGGCATCTTTCTTTCAATATTATTGCAAGATTTAGCTACACTGTTGGATAGAGTTGCAGATCTTCCTTCTTACTGCTGATTATACTCCACTGCTGATGAATATTTGGATAGTTTCCACTTCTCAGCTATTAGACTGCAGCTATGAACATTCTAATGTTCATTCTAATGTGTGTCTTTTGACAAATGTGTCAGTTATACACTTGGGAACAGCAGCATTTTAAGTCAACATATATAGTATACTTTAAATGCAATCTGTTAACTTTGTACAATACAGATAAATTGCCAAAGCTATCATTCACATTATGTCACTACTTGTGAGATCGTAACCGCCACGTAAAGGGTTATTAGTCTTTCTCTCCCCTGTGCTTCAGTATCATTTAATCACCACCTCTATCAGCCACTGATCACACATTATAACTTGTATTTTATACTTGTTTTCCTAGTCCCAGAAAAGCAGGGGTGAAATCTAATACTACTTTGTACTCCCAGCTCATTTACTAGCCTCCAGATTTTACGAATGAATAAATTCTCTAGATGGATAAACAAAAATACGCAAACCAGTTTGTCACTTACCTCTGTTTCTTTCATTAGCAAGTTTAGTTCAGAAATTTGACTCTTCACCTGGCTCTCCTTGCCAATAAGGTAATCAATATCCTTTGAAAGTTTTTCCTGTTAGAACAGATCAGTAACACAAATAAGCAGAAATTTAACAAAGGCCCTGCTGATCTACCTTTCTTCCTTCTTTCTTTCTTTGCGCTTTTATTTTCTTATACACCACTCTTTCGCCTGTGATGAACAGGCAGTAAAGTCAACCCTGACGAGTCTCGTTACTAACCCAGGGTTAACTGTTCCTGGCCTTGAGCATGGGGACCCGCGGATCTATGAGAGATGAGAAGCAGGCTGAGTAAAAGAACAAGGCAGTGATGCTCAGATGAGTCAAAAAACCAGAATACATAAATAATACATTTTTGTTGTCTTTTCATCATTCCCAGTGGTCCTACGTTTCTAAGTAAATGCTAGAAGAGCAATTCAAATAGGATTGTCTTCCATCAGATTTTATAATTCATGCTTTCTCTGACCACACACACACACACACACATACACACACACAAAGAACACAGACCCTTCCAAAATGAATTGCACATCTCAGCCCAGACTAGATATTCATTAAATAATCACACAAAATAATGAAAATATAGATTTATAAAAATAGAGCTAAGCTTCCAGAGCTCACTGAAGAACTTATTTATAAAGTAGTTATTTTGAAGTTAGCCTGCTCACCATAGAGATAACATTGTGGGCTTTGGTGCAATCCCTACTTTAACCCAGAAAAAAGAATGTGTGTGACTGAAGGATATTAAAAATCCAAACAACCAACCCTTGAAGCACCATGGGGTACAAAGTTTTAAGAGACACATGTATGCAGAGTCTAAATCAGAACATCATCCAGAAAATGCCACCCAAGCTGGAGCCCTGACAAGAGGACCCGGGTATTTCTCAATCGTTGCTGCTGCTCTCAATTAAAGGGTGGGTAAGAAAAGAAGGCCAGAGATCTAACTTTTTGGAATTCAAGAAGTAAGTCTCCTACCTATATGGTTTCCCTCTTTTCTCATTTAGACCACGTGATAGAGTAAGAGAACATATGTTGAAATGGATATGACAGGTCCATGGCAGGACCAGTCTTCAATTCTCTGGAGCACCCAGTAACCAGACACACTGAGTTGCCTTGAGGGCTCACTGCAGGGCCAGAAGAAGGACCCGTGGGTAGAGGAATAAGATTCCTGAGGGCAGGATAGGACCAGAAAGAACAGGTGGTCAAGGACAGCAAGAGACATGAAATCTCATGTCTTGACTCACATTTTACAGATGAGGAAACCAGAGCTAAGTGCAGAGAGTACACAGTCGATACCGAACTAGAAGGTTCCTCGCCATGCAATCCACCGACCATGATTCTGCAGGCTGAGAGATGCTTCCTTGGCACCAAGCTACAAGGGACAGGAGAGCCCCTGCAATGCCATCCCATCAGGCTCCTGCTGGGACCAAAGGTGCAAGGGGCCAGGGGCTGTACCCCTTGTCACTATAGCAACAGAGAACTGGGCCATTTCAAGTGACATAGGGCTTGGTGGTTAGACAGCTTACGCTGTGAATGCAGGATGGGCTGGAACACAGGAAGCATGATGGAATTCAGGAACATGGAAAGTCAGAGAGCACGGGTGTTCACTGTCAGTGAGCAGTAAAGCTTAGGCAAGGTCTCCAGCCAACCATGGCCTTTAGCACCAGTCTTCTCTGTCCCCTCACAACGAAGCAGTCTGTGTCAAGATGACATGTTGGTTTGGGTTTTTTTTTTTAAAGATTTGTTTTATTTATTTGAGAGAGACAGAGCATGAGCATGAACAGGGGAGAGTCAGAGAGGGAGAAGCAGACTCCCAGCTGAGCAGGGAGCCCGATACAGGGTTCGATCCCGGGACCCTGAGATCATGACCTGAGTCAAAGGCAGATGCTTCACAGACTCAGCCACCCAGGCACCCCAAGATGACATATTTTAGCCAATAATCAGTGTGTCCATTTATTCATAGGCCTCCAAAAGTATAAACACCAGACACTGATACTAGATGCTGAAAAGTGAAACATTAGCAGAAATGGTTCCCTCAGGAAATCCATCTAATAGGGGAATCAGTTTTATTTATTTTTTTAATAAATTTTTATTTATGATAGTCACACACAGAGAGAGAGAGAGGCGCAGAGACACAGGCAGAGGGAGAAGCAGGCTCCATGCACCGGGAGCCCGACGTGGGACTCGATCCCGGGTCTCCAGGATCGCACCCTGGGCCAAAGGCAGGCGCCAAACCGCTGCGCCACCCAGGGATCCCTGGGGAATCAGTTTTAAATCCTTCAGCTAGGGCAGCCCGGGTGGCTCAGCGGTTTAGCGCCGCCTTCAGTCAAGGGCCTGATCCTGGAGACCTGGGATCGAGTCCCACGTCAGGCTCCCTGCATGGAGCCTGCTTCTCCCTCTGCCTGTGTCTTTGCCTCTCTCTCTTTCTGTCTGTCATGAATAAATAAATAAAATCTTAAAAAAATTAAAAAATAAATAAATAAAATAAATCCTTCAGCTATATTAGGGCCCCAGTTCCCTAGGAACTGACCAAAAGCTAACTGCTCAAGGACTCCAAATTTGCTCCAAAGCCTTCCCCTAGGGCAGTGATTCTCAAAAGCTGGCGTGCAGCAGAGTCTCCCGAGAACTAATAAAGACCACAGAGGCCCAAGCCCCTCAAGGAGAACAGGGCCTCTAGTTTTACCAAGTGTTCCATGATTCCAGCACCCTCAAAGTCTGAGAACCACTGCCTCCTGCTTTTAGTAAGATCACTGATCCAAGGTACCCAAAGAAACAGTCAACAAAACAAGGGAGAAGGGAGAGAGAAAGGGAGAGAAATTCATTCATCAATCACACTGAATATTTCTCATATGAGCAAGCTAGGAGAATAATAAATATGTTCCCTGACCCCTTAGGACATATCATTTTATTTTTAAAATTTATTTATTCAAAAAAATTTATTTATTCATGATAGACACAGAGAGAGGCAAAGATATAGGCAGAGGGGGAAGCAGGCTCCCTGCAGGGAAACTGATGTGGGACTTGATCCCAGGACCTCGGAATCATGACCTGAGCCAAAGGCAGACACTCAACCACTGAGCTCCCCAGGCTCCTCAGGACAGATCATTTTAAAGGTGATATCAGCCTTGCTACGTGTCTAAAAATGTTAAGAAGAAAATGATAGGAAGAAAAGGTATAGAATGATACATCTTGGTCAAGTGCCAAATGACTTCACCAAATATTGTAATGCTATATTCACCACAAATCTCACAAACCCCCCCAAAATACAGAAGCTGTATTGCTTTCTCATTCAATGGGGACTGGTTCTAGGGGTGTTTACATTTTCTACATTTCTAAGTCTTAGTTTCCAATCATCTCATCATGATTAAAATCACAAAGTGACCCCCTTCCAGAAGAGATAACCGCACATGAATAATTATTAACTCTCTTTCACAAATTAATGGAAATAAAGAAAAAATAAAAGTAGGAGAAACTCCTCAAGTAACAGTCTTCAGTAAAATGTCCATTAACTACTAGAAAATGGACAACTGAAGGAAGATGAGCTAACAACCAACCTCCTTAATGAGAGCCTGTATAATAGTGTGAGAAGTTGAAAAAATCCTAGAAAACCCACTAACACCCAAAGTTGGGAGAAGCAAGGTGTTGATGTGGGACCAGAAGGAGAGAGAGACAGTAAATATCCAACTGTGATCCCTTTTTCAGGGTAAAACAGAATTATAAACCTTAGCTGTTCAAACTGGCCAGAGGAGATAGTAAACATGGTTTCCTACGTTGGAAGGTGGGAAGGACACCACATCAGTCCCTATTCTGGAAGAGCGAGGCCAATAAACAAAGACAAGCTACAAAAGAGATGGGACCATTCAATCTGAAGCGTGTGCACATGCGTGCAGGTATCTTTCTATTTTGAGATTAACAAGGGTGAGGTTCTATGGAAGCAAACACAAAAACAAAAAGCCAAGAAAACAGGTCTCATTGTAACAGAAGACTGCCAGGAGCACAATTAGTCCTCTCTGCTATTCACTATTTAGGCCAGTTCACTTGAAAGTGCTAGTGCTTTCCAAAACGGGAAGGGCACCCTCAGTGAAATAACTTGGTAAAAATTCCAAAGAGACACCAGACACAACAACACAGTCTACCTGTATTAAAAGCCAAATCGAACAGATGTAGATGGGAAGCCTGGCCCTGGCTTCAGTGGTTTCAACAAACAGCAGCAACAAGATGGACAAAGTTACCCCACCATGACGATCATTTTCCTTCTGTTCTTGCAACACACAAGTGTATAAAAATGAAAACAGTATGGGCCGCCTGGGTGGCACAGTTGATTGAGCATCCAACTCTTGGTTTTAGCTGAGGTTGTGATCTCAAGACCATGGGATCGAGCCCCGTATCAGTCTCCATGCTCAGCAGGGAGTCTGCTTGAGTTTCTCTCCCTCTCCCTCTGGCCCTCCCCCCACTATGCTCTCTCTCTAAAATAAGTAAATAAATCATTTTTAAAAAATGAAAATAATAGAAACGTGTATCATGTAGCCACCTGCTTAAAACCTAAAACCAAGTGAAAAGAAAGATCTAAGGAGATCATTTTTGGCAAATGTATCAATCAAAATAAGTTTATCCTTACTAAAAAGTGAGTAAATTGAAAACCTCTTTAGGGACCCTATTGGGGAAAAAAAAAGTCTGAAACATGAATAAGAAAAGTTAATAGCAGAGTATAAAGAGTACTATCAAAGCTTTATCCCAGGTAGCAGAAAAAGAAATTTTGGACAGCTTGGATAAGATCAGGGGACTAAAAAATAGAACAAAAATATGTCAAAAGTTAAATTTAACTAGCAAACAATGGTAACACCATGGAGGCGGGGGCGGTGCACAAGTGAGTAACAAAGCCTGGATTTACTCTCCTACCAGGAGAAATTTTAAAACCTAACAGATGTATGAAATGGCTCTCAAGACGCTGGACATCAAGGAATGCCTGGGTGGCTCAGCGGTTGAGCGTCTGCCTTTGGCTCAGGGTGTGATCCCAGAGTCCCAGGATCAAGTCCCACATTGGGTTTCCTGCATAGAGCTTGCTTCTGCCTCTCTCTCTCTCTCTGTCTCTCCCTCTCTCCCTCTGTGTCTCTCATGAATAAATAAATAAAATCTTTAAAAAAAAAAAAAAAGCCCTGAAGAGAGGGCAACAAGATGGGTCTATGGCCGTGCCCACCTTACAGCCCAGACACGGTTTCCTCCAAGGCCAGGATGGAGGAGAACTGAGATAGATCCAGGGTCTCCCATGAGTTGAGGAGACAAGGCTCAGAGTCCCGGGAGGCCAGAGCTTATAAAGCAAAATCCCTAAGAACAGAAAGTGACAGAACTCTGAAGATGCCCAAAGGGGCTTCCTGGCTTCTTTAGCAGAGTACTGATCAATTCCCACGTGTGAGGAAACTCTCAGAAGCCAGGGAAAGAATCACCCAGAAGGATTACAAGGAACAATTTCAGGGGCTCACACAAGGCTGGGAATACTGCCTGTGACTCACCAGCCAAACCAACCAAACAAACAAAAAACAAATTAAAAACCCTCAAAAAATGCCGACAGAACTCAAAATCCAAACGTCACTGAAAAGAGTAAAATGAGAAGAGTAATCTGGTAAAATTGGCCTAGACTGCTGCTCTGTCCTGGCTAACAAAGGTTAAAAGACCCAACAAGGAACCAATTGTTCTGAGGTAACCTGACCACACATCAGAAGAAAACTCAAGAATATCTGTAGGATATAGAAGTATCTATGGCCCAACACGGTAAAATTTATAAAACTGACCTAGTAATGACATAGGTGACAGTTAGAATACCAGGACAATAAAACAATTATACCGTAATCCATATATTGAGAGTAGAACAGAGGCTGAGCATGATAGACATATAAAAATGCAAAAGATAAAACTGTAAGTAAGAATTAGATAAAGGCCCCAAAAGGAATGTACATATTATGAAAAAAAGACAGGAAATTAATTAAAATTGGTGAGATTTATGAATGAAGATACCATTTAAAAGAAAAAAGAATAAGACAAACAAAAAATAGCATTATATCACTGCCTACCTTACTTGTAGATTATCGGTCAAGTCTGAAAGTTTTCAAAGGTCCATGCATAAGGTTCAGAGATAGGAAGTAACTCAGTTTTAGCTGGTAAAGGTCCACCAGACCCTTAGTATAAATTTTCCCACTACTTCTATAGGCAAGTAATAAGAATCAAGTGTCTTAACATGACTACCATCCTTCCAGGTGTGTCATTCACACACATATTTACACTCAACAGGGGTGTCATTTCTACACACACACTCAACTGGTATGTCATTTCCTCACACACTCAACAGGCGTGTCAGCTCCATACACACTCAAGAGGCTGTAATTCCCCCACACATACTCAACAGGCTGTCATTTACACACACACACACACACACACTCAACAGGCTGTCATTTCCACACACACACACTCAACAGGTCATTTCCACACACACTCAATAGGCTGTTATTTCCTCACACACACTCAACAGGTGTGTCATTTCCACACTCAACAGGCGTGTCATTTCCACACACACTCAACTGCAGGCACTGGGCTCATATGGGAATCATAACGGAGTGGCCTTCACCCCTCTTTCTTCAGAACCAGCTAATCTGCTGAGTCACACACACTAACAACCTCATATTAGATCACTGAGGGACCCTTTACATTGCTGACTCGTTTCAGTAAAACAAGACTACACAGCAAGTTGTTACTTTATAAAGAAAAAGTTAAAGGCAAAAGTAAAACAAAAGTTATAAGGGATTCAAAATGTAGTTCTCCAAACATACAATCCTACCTTCAAGGTTTTGTAGGCACTGCTCATAGTAGTTACCCGGTGATTGGAATGATTACCGCCCAACTTACAGAGATGACAAACTGGCCTCCGACATAATTCACAGTACATGTTTATTCTCTCTGTTTCATGTTCTGGGCACATTAAAATCTGTCGAGCACAGAATAAAGGTGTAATTAAGGGTCCTCAGAGCCTGCAGGATACTCAATATCCCAACATACAAAGACGTCCTTAACCAAATCACTAAATAAAGCCATTTAAATGAATGAATTTTAAAAAGTGTAAAAGCATTTGGTGTATTAGAGTCACTATTTTTCAATTTGAGGATTCAAATGGCCAATTAAATATGCAGATATTATTTCCCCCAACTTGGTGGTAAGATGGTGACAATTCCATTGCTATCAGGTCTGCGTGCTTATTCAAGACAAAAAGGTCCTCTGGCCACACTGACTAGGCAAATTTGAATGACGTGACCAGCGCTTTTGTAAGGTACCATGACAAATAACTGATAGGAACCCAAGGCCTCACCATCTTCATAAGAAATCTGCTCCTAAAGTGGTGCCTGGCTGGCTCAGTCAATAGAGCATGTGACTCCTGATCTGGGGGGTTGTAGGCTTGAGACTATTAAAAATAAAATCTTAAAAAAAAAAAAACCCTGCTACTAAGAAGTCTTGGAACACTTTATGATATAAGCTTCCAGATGTCTGCCTTTACATATTAATCATGTACATGATCAAATTTAGAACTGTTTTTCTTTCGTTTTCTTTTTTTTTAGTACTGTTTTTCTGATTCAAGTTTCTAACTTACTCTGTAAACTATCACTATGTATGAAATAATGAGTTTCATTTGCAAGAAAGATATTTCTTTAGACTAGTGTGTCAATGAAATCAAAAAGTTGTCTGTGGCTCCAACAGTTCACATTTTCAGCAACCACAACTGTTTTGATAATATCAAGACACAAAGAAAATGTCCAATATGAAAAAGCCTAATACCAATATGCAGGACCAGGATAAAAACTGGAAGAAAATTCAAATTTTCCAGCATGTCCAAGTTCCTACATTCTCAAAACCATTAAATTTATTTATTTGTTCTTATTATTTTAATTCCAGTATAGTTAATACACAGTGTTACATTAGTTTTCAAAGCCACTGCATTTTAAATAAAATAGAAAATTTGGCATTCTCCAAGGAAGGATAAGAACTCAGTTATAGGCAAATATAAGAGACAACTTTGTAGAATTTTACTATATTTAGCATTACACTATTTAAGGAAAGTAATATTTTCCTCAATATAACCCACCTTTTCAGTTCTCCCTTGCCAATCTTTTATTGTATTTGTAAGTAGACTAAGTCTGCAAATTATATTCAAAAATTTTTTACTCAAGATTTCATGTGTTTTAAATCATAAAAGCCCAAGTGTGATAAATTCTATAATGACAAGTTCTTTCATAATGGAAAGAACTAGTATTAATCAGTTTAATTAATCTTCTGAGAGAGGCAATGAAGCCCCAAGTTGAAGTCATAAATTTTTAAAAGTCTATGACCTGGTGCATTTAAAATGAAATAAGGAACATAATAGGGGATTAAAAACTTTTTGATAAATATATTGCCACACTGACATAGTTTAAAAAAAAAAGACACAGTGTGAAAGCCCAGATTCTTTCTCTTTTGATCTACCAGTCTGGGGCCACTTACTATAATGTCAGAGGGGCACCTGGCTGGCTCAGTCAGCAGAGCATGCGACTCTTGATCTCAGGGTTCATGAGTTTGAGCCCCACAATGGGCACAGAGCTTACTTAAAAATATAGATATATGATGCAAAAAATACTCAGCTCATAGTCTCAAGATAACTTTTGGGATTTATTTCCATTGTATTTTTTAAGCAGACTCTACACCCAATGCAGAGCCCAACTTGGGGCTCCAACTTAGAACCCTGAGATCAAGACCTGAGCTGAGATCAAGGGTCAGACACTCAACCTACTGAGTCACAGTGGCCCCCATTCTTCTATGACAAATTAAACAGCAAATATTTATCCTCAAGAATGTAAACAGATTTTCATACTCACACACGTTACTAAGAAGAAATAAAAACTTTAATCAAAAGAATCTCTCAAGTTTCTGGTAATCTATCTAAATCAGAAAGTAGCATAAGTGAAGATAGCCAAACATCATTCTGCTTTTCTGCCACGAAGCAGGGCAAACCACAATGCATAAGGGTCTTGTGAGTGTTATTAGAGAAATTACCCAGAATATTTAAGAAAGATATTACATAAACATTATACCACAGTCTTCAAACCATTACGCAGTACTTACTCTTATATATGCACAGCATAAGCAGCTAATTGAAAACGTCAGAAAAATGTTTCCCAATCAAATCCTTTAGGCAACTATGGGTTTAATCACATTAAAGCACAGAAGCATTTGAACTTTATAACCACTTGGATCTCAGGGAGCACCTCTGAGACAATTCAGCCCTTCCCGTTTGCAGAGGTAGCATTGCGGACATTTGCGTATCGTGCTGCATGACGCTGTGTTGTAACATAGCGACCCAGGATACTGCTTTTGGGCTGTGCGGGGAGTGTCCAGCCACACACAAAATAACTCCAAATGCCAGGCCTTAGTTTCTCGTACAGGTTTTTTTTTCCTTTTATGTTCTCATTTTGTATTTTTTTGGACATACACGTCTCTGTGTTTGTGAGCACCATCCATTTTTTAAAATTAATTAATGTATGTATATATTTTGTTTATTTATTTTAAGTAAGCTCTACAGTCAAAGTGGGGCTTGATCTCACAACCCCAAGATCAGGTCACACACCCTTACCGGCGGCCAGCCGGGCGCCCCTCTTTTTATAGGCTTTTCAACTTACTCCCATTCTTGCTGTCGAGGTCTAGATGCATAAATAATTCCTGTTAGGATACCGATATTCTAACCAAATCAGAACTTCTCTTACCTTGGGCCTAAAATTAGTCGTCGGACCCACATACTCGTGCTGAGCTTTCACAGTACCCCACGGGTGGTAAATTTTGAAGCACTCATTGCAGTAGCTCGCGCTACAGTCCATGCAACTTTTCGTGGACTCCTGGGGTGGTGGCTTACAAAGGTCACACATGATAGCTGTGGCTGCCCTGGCTGCCTGCCGGTACCTCTCGACAATAGTTTCCAAAGTGAAATTTCGAAACAGACCATTGATTCCTCGTTCTCCAAGATCCACATCATGCTCACAGCCGGGGCAAGGAAAAGTGGTTGTCCTGGGGGTCAGTGAACCGCGCTTCCAGCCTGTGTAATTGGAAGTCCTTGTTTAGTTATGTCAGTAGGAAAGCAAACAGAATGAAGGAGAAAGGAGTGATGTTTTGGAAAGAGACAGAGCTACACCTACATTCCCATCACCACCACCAGCAACCCTATCCCCGAAAATAATGCTCAGAGTGGTGGCTTCACTTGAATCAGTCTGTATTCTGAAAATGCATAATGCTTATTTTTCCGTGGTATACAAAAGACAAGCCCAAGTTATTAGATAGGTCTTAAAGAGGAGAGGAAAATCTAGGGTAAATCCCACACAAAACCATATCAAACCAAACAGATATATAGACAAAACACAGAATACAATACTACACAGGGTCAGGATTTTTTTTTTGAAAGCATATAATTAACATTTATAGTTATTTCTATGTATCATATCCAAAGTAATTTGGTTTTCATTTAAACGAACACAGCCTCAGCTGATGGATAGGAAACAAACTCATACATAAATGACAGAAGACCCTAAACAGTGCCCCATGGAGAGGCTCCAGAAAGATCCAAATAGTTCTGTACGCTATTTGAAATTGTGTATACAATTTCAACAGTCCATGGCTTTGATCAGATTCTGAAAAGAATATGTGACCATAAAATAGTTAAGAACCACTACAAAAAAGCATTCCCCACAGTAGTATTGTTTTATCCAGGTAGGCAAAATCATTAGTTAACTGAGTGTAATCTAGAAGAGTGAAAACCACATCCATAGACCTAGAGACTAGTGACTTTAAGAGGGACCAACCATTTAGTATCTTCTTATGACCTGAAAAAAAGAACCATTAAAATTACTTAATTCAGTAAGCCAAAAGTTAACCCAACAAGTATAATTAATAATTTTCTAATATATACATAATTCAGTGAATGACCATGAAGAGCACACTTTTGTTCAATATTAACTTGATTTTTAACAAATCAAGAAACCAAGACATGACCGTCCTTACCCACAGGTTCAAGAGAACCTGGGGTTGTTCCTTTAACCTAAGCACATGCATACTTATTCCCTGCTCTCATTTATAAATCTACCCTGAGAGCACGTAGTCTTGGTTGTTCACAAAATAACTACCTAATTATAGACACAAACTTCTTATCCTAAAGCCTCTTTCATTCTACCATATATCCAGTACTAAAAAAACGAATGGCCAAACTTAGTCTACCACATTTATAATAAGTATTTCCAACAGCTATGTTAAAATTGCTTTGGCACATTACTATCATCACTGAAAAGACTGTCTTAAAATAGGTCTTGTATGATAACACTAAAGGTAAATTTTAGCCATCAGCTCACAATATTATTCATTTGAAGTGACTTGACAGCATGCTAAGTGGCACTGGGTTCCCAAAAGTACTTATGCAACAAACATGCAGAGCATTTTTGATATCTTCATTTACCTTTGCATTTCTAAACCTATAAAAAAAAGCATAACAAAAAAAAGCTGCCCCATAAAAATTAGAAAATTCTACATAAAATATATTTTTATGATAATCCTCAAAACATGCAACACAGTCCAAGATATTTCACAACACAGCAGGCATATAACGAAATAAGCAGCAAAGCCACTTTTTAAGACACATGCCAATGAAAATTTCATTCATGAAAAAAACAAGCCAAATAATTCTGGAAGTGATATAGTGCAGTGGTCAAGTTGAAACAAATGGAAAGTCCCTTTTAACTGCATGCTTCCATATGTGAACCAGGTGATAGAAATCAAAATGGATAAACCCAAACAGTTAATGTTTAAAAAAATGAGTTATTACTGCTTTTATGAATTGAAGGTGGAGATCAGTTTAAGTAACAGGATCAAACAAAATTAAATTACGACAACAAAGTCATGCTTTCACGTATATACTGGTGACACCCAGATTGTGGCCTTCATGTTCAGAAATTTCAAATAAAGATGTTTCGTCCCTTTTCTGTAAACCTCTTTTATTTTTATAACAAAAATAAGGTGTAAAGCATCACACAGCCTAATAAGACAAAATATTAAGTCGATACATCTCAGCTGTTTTCCTAAACAGATCTTAAAAAAAAAAATCTCATCTTTTTCTGTGAATGCCAAAGTATGTAAGTTTTATTTCATGTCTTGGGCTTCCACCATTGTCTTCAAAAACAAATGATAGTATATATGTTCAGGGCAATAAGGAAACAGAACAGATCTAAGGATATCCTAGGAAGTAAATCTAGTGGGGGAAAAAAAATCAAGACAGAGGGGCACCTGGGTGGCTCAGTGATTGAGCATCTGCCTTCAGCTCAGGTCGTGATCCCAGGGTCCTGGGATCAAGTCCCACATCAGGCTCTCTGCAGGGATCCTGCTTCTCCCTCTGCCTATGTCTCTGCCTCTCTCTCTCTGTGTCTCTCATGAATAAATAAAATCTTTTAAAAAATCGAGACAGTAGAACTAAGAATAAAATGTAATAGAGTCAACTTTTTACTCTACAGCTGTGTTCTCTACTATAGTAACTATTAGCCAAATATCACTATCTAAATTTAAATGAAAGATTCAGTTCCTTGGTTGCACTAGACACATTTCAAATTCTCAAGAGCCATATGTGACTGGTGGCTCCCATACTGTCCAGTGCATGGTCAAACAAAACATTCCCATGATCATAGAATGTTCCATCAGGTAATATTCCCCAACAGCATGACATAATGAGAAAGAAATTCATGAAAAAAACATGAATTGCCTACCTTCAATTTGAAGGTAAGGAAGCAATGCGGGCCAAGCAATGTAACTGTATATGTCAAACTCCATTTATGGGGCCAATTACATGTGCAGATTATTTGAATCTGTCCCCTTGCAAGAGTAATTATTTTCCCCAATAACACCTTGACTTCAAAGACAGATTCATGACACATATAAATGTAACAGATCTATGACACGTGTCATAAAATCATGACACAATTTGAAAATGAAGACTCCAAAAAAAAAAAAAATCCTCAAATTGGTTTCTAGCAAATCTCCCCTCAAAATTACCTTTCAATCATTATGTTTTGTCATTGAAATATCAGAGAAAATAAAGGATTTCAAAACCAAGTCAGTTCGTAAGGAGTTCAAAACTCTGCTAGCTGTATCCTCTCCCAAATTCTGACTACAAACTACTTCCCCACCATCAGCTGCCAGCCAGTTCAGGTCAGGCTTCTAGGTGCTTGGCAAAGGGCTCATGGATTGTGCTGCCACATTCATGCTTCTTTCAGCACGTTCTCACCATCTGATGCCTACGAGCTACAATCACCTTCCAAGTATTAGGGGCATGTTCAAACTGCAACACCTTTAGCTCAACTACTGTCTGAAAGAAATAGGGAGCAAGCAATGCTTAAGCCAACTGCTCCTGCCTTTCCTCCTATTTACTAAGTCTCAACACTTAAGATTCTCAGGGACTCACTGAAGCTTGTAAGAGAAAGGATGCCACATGGCTTTTGGAAGTGTCAGATCTGTAAACTGAGGCACGTAGAGAGGTAGGTAAGGAAGACAGAAAAGGGATAACATTTCAGGTGTTTATTTTCTCTAGTAAAATAGAAGGTATCACCAGCATTCTGCAAAAAAATAAAAAGTAGCCAATTTTACTTTAAAGGTCAACTGGAGTTAAAAAAAAAAAAATCCTTTTAATAAAAAGGGTTGGCCCATTGTGTGCCCAGAATTCAAATACTTTGGAAAGCCTAAAAGAGGCAGTGTACGTTATTTACCCACAAATGGGTAATACCTCAAGGTCAAAACTCAAACACTTTCAAACATTACCAGAGGAAAGACACCGTATGCACAAAAAATAATACAAGCAAAGATTGTATTATTAAGTACCCAAAAAACTGCCACTGCCCTTTAAGCAAAATTTTAAATGCAGAAGAGAGTACTGGCTCATTTGACCATGCCCAAGGTAGCAATATGGCCATTAATATAATCTTTGTTCCACTAAGTAAATGAAAAGAATCGTTAGGCATATTAAAAGAACTCATAGACACGAGTATGTCATTTTCTTCAAAAATATCTTGTCATGCCAATGGACAAAAGGGAGGCACTGGTGACTGGAGCTCCCTTTAGAAACACCAGCCCTCGCTTGGAAATTTAGTCCTGTTGACCTTTAAGTCATTCAGCCCAATTTGTCCACTTTCTACAAAATTTTGAACACTTGACCACTGATATTTACACACTTTATGTATACAAGGTTATTAAATTTAATTCTAACACTATACTGCCTGCGGCCACACAAGCAATAAAGCGTTTTCTACCTCTCCACCCCAAAGATCTCCGTTGTGACGCTGCGAACAATGAACAGAAAGCTGGATTTAGAATTTAATTTCAAAGAGAAGATTCACAACTCGTTAACAAAAGATAAAGCAGTAACTGTGTCCTGTACACAACACAATTCTTGCATTAACGGTAAGAAAATGTGTTTTTTTCCTGGCACACGTGGTATTTATGAAACCATCACTGTCAAACATTCATCAGGCTGACCTTAGAGTTCAGAATCAATCATTGTTGGCGCAGCCCTGAAGAGGTCTAAACTCTATCTTATAGATTCGTATGTTTGCACAATTGTATTTCTGGTAACTTGAAAATACACAGCAATAGCAAGCATCTTTTGTTTGATTTTTTAACTGATGTATACCAAACCAACCCTGTAAGTAAGTATTGCTAAAACTGACTGTATCATCTTCCAAAAAGAAATATAAAATGTGGGGAAAGCTTGTACACATGTGACCCAAAATGTATAGTAATATGGCTATTTTTATATAATTGAATGTGTTACAGTGTTGCATACACAAACCCTACTCTCCTTTCAAGGCAGCACCCTTTTATTTTAAAAAATCTGCCAAATATCCAATGCAATGATAGCCAAAAGGGCTATCTGAGCCAAAAGCATCAGCCACATATACCATTAAATTTTCTAGTAGCCAGATTAATTAAAAAGAAAGTGAAATCAATTTTAATATGTGATTTACTGAACCCAATATATCCAAAATACTAACACCTCAAAATGTAATAAAAACTATTAGAGACATTTTATATTCTTTTCATTCTAAGGGTTTGGCATTCACAGTGTATTTTTTATACCTCCAGCACACTGCAGTTCAGACTAGCTTATTTCAAGTGGTCAACAGCCCCATGGGGCTAGTGGCTACTGCACTGGACAATCCTGATCTAATTAATTCCTTTATTAAACCAGGGGCAAAACTAATTTTTAGAATTCTACTCCTCCCACACCAATACTCAGAATAGGATTTTTTTCCCAAGTATCTCTAAGTGATGAAAAATAATAATAAAAAAAAAGAAGCGTGCCAGGAAAAAAGGGGGGGGGGAGCATTACTTCCCTATGAATTTCTCTTTGAATCACTCCAAAAAAAAAGTAGAGGCAAATGCCCCATAAATGGAGGGTAGCATTATATTTGTAATATCATTACTTCTATTAATTCAAAACTGATACCATGAGAAGAACGGCAATCCTAAATCCACATTCATTTGATAAAATCCTCCAGGAATGATTATTATACTTGGAGCCCCCCAACCCTCTGAGTACTCGATCTGTATTTGTTAATTTGCTCTGTAGGCTCTTCTTGATGAATGATTGTGTTCTAACTATGATGCTCTACATAACGCTAGGCTATATGCCTCTTGAAAAGGAGGGACAGATCTATCTTGTTCATTCCTCTTGAGCATTTAGCCAAGCCTGGCAACCAGCAGGTAAATTCAGTATTTGTTGAACGAATGAATGCAAATGAATGCAAGCTTGAGAATTTCAATGTTGGAGAAGAAATGGCGGTTGACATACAACCGAATTAACCTACCACCCAAGGCAGGAATCCCCTCTACAATGTATTCAAATGGTGGTCACTCACCCACTCTTTAAAACAAAGATTTCAAATACTGATGGCCCAAATGCTGAATGGGACAGTCCTAGCCAAAGATGTGCACTGGCTGCCCTATCCTATGTTGAGCTGGTATGGAGTCATTCAATAATTTGAATTACCTACCAACATTTAAAAGACAGATTACACATCAAAAACACTATCAGGTTCTTTTGTCGGGGGCGGGGGGGGGGAGGAGGACAGTAAATCTGCAAATCTAGCACCCCTAAACTAATGCACTAGTGCCAAGTGGCTAAGCGCTCAATTAGACAAGGCATCCATTCTGGTCTACAGTCTCAAACCATGTGCCACCATGTTCTACAGGGAAGGCCTGGAGTCAACTGGCTGCTGGTTTTCTTAAGGTAGATGAGTTAATGGGAAAATGAAATATTTACTCTCTATCAAAGAAGTAAAACCAAGGTGTTTATTATGCCTGGGACCTGCTTCCCTAATGCATATGGCCCCCTGAAGCATTCTAAATCTGACCCCTCATTTGAATACTTCTACTGACAGTGAGCTGACAATCTCATCTTTGGAAACCCATGATGGGTGTTTGTTTTCTTTGGCACTGAGCTTGAAATCTGCATTCCTTTTCACAGAAAGGTTTTCTACCTCCCCCCATCTCAGGACATGATCCAACTTGACAGGGTTCTTCCTCAAGGAGAGGGAGGAACATCTCGGTAATTCTATTTCTGATCTAGATGGTGTAAAATATGGTGGAATGGATCTCTTGTTTTAGGGGGAAAAATAACACTATTATTGATTAAAAGCCATCATGGCATGTTTTGTGGAAATCTTGTAGCAGGGGTCATTCAACAACCACTCCACAAATATGTATTAAATATCTGGGATCCCTGGGTGGCTTAGCGGTTTAGTGCCTGCCTTTGACCCAGGGCGTGATCCTGGAGTCCCAGGATCGAATCCCGCGTCAGGCTCCCTGCATGGAGCCTGCTTCTCCCTCTGCCTGTGTCTCTGCCTCTCTCTCTCTCTCTCTCTCTCTCTCTCTCTCTCTCCTCTCTCTGTCTCTCATGAATAAATAAAATCTTTAAAAAAAAGATATCCACCAAGTAATATCTAGGTGTGCTTCTAAAAGCAGTTAACCATATTTCATCTAGTTAGATATATATATTTATCTGTATTTCATCCATACTCCATATGAATCACATATAAATACCAACCAAATGTTAAGATTAGAAGCCCACATGAGATACAGGATTTTATATATGTGTGTAAGCTCTATCTAATTATAGAAATGTTAGTAGATAACTAAAATTCCTTTTAATGATTTGTGTTAAATATTAATAGAAAAAAGCAAATTTCCCTTGGTCAATCAAAGGGTCTGTCCCTAATTAGCCAATGAGGATCTACCAACAGAATATCTGTTTTCCCTAGTAGGTAATTTCCAGCTATGGAAATCTGTCCCTGCCCCCGGGGCTGCCAGCTGGTTCCTAGCAGGGAGGGAAACATACAAGTGATGACTTCATAATAAGCATAACTCTCTCTGATCTCATACTCCCTGCAGCCACAGTCATTTAACACTCCCTTTTCAATATATGCTTATAATTTTTATATATGCAAAATATCTTCCAAGTAATTCGTGATTACCTTTTAAAGAAAAAGACATTTTTAAAGCAGCATAATAACTACTTTTAGATCAAATCCACTCTTATGGAGACGCCTGGGTGCCTCAGTAGTTGAGCGTTTGTCTGCCTTCAGCCCTGGGTATGCTCCCAGAGTCCCGGGCTCAAATCCCACATTGGGCTCCCTGCAGGAAGACTGCTTCTCCCTCTGCCTATGTCTCTGCGTCTCTCTGTGTCTCTCATGAATAAATAAGTAAAATCTTAAAAAGAAAAAAATCCACTCTTATCCACTGTCTGATGAAGCACAAAGACACATACATTGCCCTACAAGATACCAGATCACAGTGTGGACCAAAAAAGACAGCATTCACTAAATGCAAATGAGGAGAAGGAAATTCTCTTCTACTAAGTTTTTTTTTTTTATATTAAAGATTAAAAAACTATTCCTATACTATAGGGGGAAGAAATAAACAGAGGGTCCTAAAAGATCAAACTTAAAAGCTCCAAACCAAAACCGGGTAGAACCGAGGCAGTGAAGTTTGGTGTTTAGAGCTACTCACATACTCTCCTCCTCCAAATGATGCGAGTACCTAACCTGACGCTGAGATACTGGTACTCAAATCTCGGCCTCCTCTTGGACCTCACTACTGATTTTGGTCCTGAAATGCCCAGTGGCCCTGTTCCTGGGATTTCAAATTAGTTTTGATCTACTTTAATTCTGCAATGGAGGTCCAGAAGAAAGAAAGTTAACACTATCCCAACGGGTAACAATTATGATGAAGTTCTATCATTACTACAGAATTCCACCACTAGTTAGTTGATATTCAAAAATCCTGATTTCAAAAAATGGATTTAAAATGGCTGAAGAAGATAAAGTCCTCAGGTAGAACGTGACACCAAATAATTAATCTAAAAAGCCTTTTGGGAACAGTCATTATGGAATCTCATCCCTTAATTTGGCATATTTATTTCCATATTACTATAGACAGAGGATTCCCTAGTGAGTACTTCCGTGATCCATTGTTTCATCCCTCATCTAATCTAGAGGACCCCTTGGGTCAGAACACACCCCAAAATACAGACCATTAAGAGCTCTAACACAAAGCTGGGGTTCAGTATTCAACTTTAAGTGTATCCCAGGAGACAGGAGAAGTTCACTTCTGAACTTCTGAAGGGAAGGGCTCCTTTACAACCAGTTTCAATTTATTCACCTGGAAAGATCAACCACAAAATGGCAAAAATAATGTCCCTTCCACAAATATCGCTGAGACTCCCAGGCCCAAGGCTTTGGCCACATACCTGGTCTGCTAAGTCTGTCAATTTTGTCCATGCTCGGGGACGGGAGCCGAAGTCGAGGACTGCTCTGATTGGAGTTGTCTGATCCCACGTCAATGAATGAATCATCAAGTGTCAGTAAGAGTTCTTTTACACACTTATGACAGATACTGTGTTGACAAGGGAGAATCAGTGGGTGGGTAAACAGCTCCTTGCATGCTGGGCAAATGAGCTCTCTTTCGATATTCTTAATGGTAACCTGGAGAAAAATCAGAATCAAAAGCCCTCGGTGAGTGAACATTATTACCATGTTTATGTCTCTTGTGTCAGTTACATGTGTTTGCCTTGCCAAAGGGAATCAAGAAACGGTTTATAATCTGAGGTTGCTTTCTGGCAATGAAATTCTGTACCATCAGCCCCCCCCTTCCCACCCACAGCCTAGAACTGAAGGGACTCAGAAATGGAAAAAACTGAAGTCTGAGCAATATCAGCACCAAATATGAGGAGGCCCTATTTCACCAATCATGAAGTTATTCAAATCATCATGAATTCACTGATTTAGGACATCTGAAAAACCCTTAAAGTAGATGACTTCAGTAAAAGTTAAGAATACAGCCCACTAAGAATGAGACTGCTCCTACTGAGCACACTAACTCTGTGGCAAAAGAGAGCTGGCAAAAACTGGGTTAGCCAGTATGTTCATGGAAGCCTCCTTGACATCTCTTTACAAGCTGAATCATCAGCAATTGTCTACATTAAATGTGACCAATTTCCACATGCTGCAACTGTAATGTTGCTGAAAAGCTTGAGGTTCTGCTGCCTATCAAAGTGGTTATCTTAAAAGCACTTTATGAATATTGAAAGGGTGGAGAGGACTAGAAAGCACCATAAAGTGCTCTCAATACTACAGGCTTGCATTATTTTCCATGAGAAACCCTCAGTCTCTTATCACAACCAAAAAGGTTTGATGACCTCATGCTCATTTTCCCATCCTTTCCATATGCAGCCCCCCAAACTGCAGGTGCTATGAACCTATATTCAGCACCCCCTGCAGTTTTACAGTTCAATTTTAAAGTGCTCCTAACCATGTACAATCATTTCAATTACTGGAGATCCAAAGAAAATGAGAATTGAATCAATTTACTCATTTCCACTAAATAAAAAATGTATGTTCTTCTATTCCCCCTAAAGCGACCTTCAAGTGCTTTAATGATCCCCGACAAAAGCACTACATCCAACCGGCTTTATCACTGCCCATGGTCTTTGAAGCGTTTCTTGCTGCATCATTCAATAAATATTTCATAGAAGCCCACACCATGTCACGATTTTATTAAATTTGGAAGAGTGCCACACTTCACGATTCACAGCAAAGAAAATAGAATATTCGCATCCTAGCTCATTTCACAAAGAATCTGACACCTCAATTCGAGGGAAAATACTGTTCTGAAGGTCCAAGATAGGTCCAAAAGAAAATACTGTCCTGAAGGTCCACAACACATTCCCATCTGGTAAAAGGTCTACCTCCTGGTGGAAGATCTCAGATCACTTCCATCTTCCTTGTACATAAAGCGGTACATAAGCTCCTTAATCACGGCAGACATAAAGTAGTCCTTCCCCAAAAGAAAAATGAGTTCTCATTGCAGATCCACCGAGGGCAGCAGCAACTTGATTAAGAGAAATGGGATGCGGCGGCTCCCGCAATTAAGCTGAGGATCGGCAGGGTTCGACGAGAAACGAACAGGTCGGAAAGAAGGGCAGACCCGAGCCTTTCCAACAAAAACACTTGCGCCCCGACAGCTGGCGGGGCCGGGGAGGAGCCTGTGCTCGCGGAGCTGGCGGGGCGGCTGGGGAGCGCCCGCGGGGTCCGAGCCGGGTCCGAGCGGGGCCCGAGCGGGGCCCGAGCGCCCGCCCCACGACGCCCCGGGACAAAGGGGCGGTGGGACACGCGCCCCGGGCCGCGCCCGCCCCCGCCCCGCCCCCGCCCCCGCCTCCCGGGGCCAGTCGACTCTTCAGCCGGGCCCCGGTTAGGGCGCCCCGCCCGGACTCCCCGAGGTGCTCAGGTGGGCGGTGCCCCGGGCTCCAAGCCTCGCAGGCGTAGGCAGGGGGCGCCCCGATGGCGGAACCCGGGCGCGGAAGGCGAAGAGGAAGCGGGGCACCGCACGCCCGCCCTGGCTCCCGGGGGGGAGAGGCTCCCCGCGGCTCGGGGCGCAGGGGGGCAGAGCGCGCGTGGGGCGGCGGCCGCGGTCGCCCACTCACCAGCGAGTCGGAGCCATCCCCTTCCATGGTGGCCTCTGCCAGGTGTCATCAACGGCACGGTCCAAACCGGCAGGCGGGCGGCCCGGGCAGGGTCTGGTCGCGGAGCCTGGGCTCGGAGCCGAGGGCCAGCCGGTCAGCCGGACCGGCCAGCGGACCGACGCGGCTGGAGCGGGGCGGGGAGAGCACAGGCACCGAGAGCCGAGCGGCGCGCCCTGCGACGGCCCCGGAATCCCGCCCCGCGGCCGGCTGCGGCGGCGGCTCCTGCGGACTGCGGCGGGGCGGGCGGCCGCGCGGAGACCCGGGCGCCGACGCCGCGGGGGGCGGGGCCGGGGCGGGGCGGGGCCGGGGCGGGGCGGGGCGGGGCGGCGCCGTCGCCCGGGCAACAGCGCCCACCGCACAAAGGGGGGGCGGGGGGCGGGGGCGCGGCGCGCGCGCCGGGTCGGCCGCCCGGGCCCCGCCCCTCCGCCGCTCGCCCCCTCCCGGGCCGCCGCCGCCGCCGCCGCCGCCCCGCCGCGGTGGGAAGCCTCGGAGCGGGCGGAAGCGAGGGGCTCGGGGAGGCGGAGGGCGGCGCCGGGGCGGGGCCGGGGTGGAGCGCTCGGCGGGGCTGCGGCGACTGCGGCCCTGGCTGCTGGCCCGGCGCGGCCCCTCCGCCCTTCGCCTGGTTGTCCCGGCGCCCCCGCGAGGCCTCACGGCGGTGCCGGGTCTTCGGACGCTGCGCGGCCGGCGGGGGCGAGCGCGCGCGGGGGAGGGACCGCAGGGAGACCCGGGCCGGGGCTGCCCGAGCGGGCCCCTGTCCAGCTCCGCCCCGCTCTTCCTCCTCGCCTTCCCGCCGCGCTCGTCGGGCGAACTTCGCGTCTGTCGCTGGTCACCAGCCGCTCGTATCCCGCTTCTGCTCGGACACCCCGGGCGCGGCGCTGTCCCACGCGACACGCTCCCGCCAGGTGGCGCGGGGCGGGGGCCGCCGGCCTGCGGTGCCCCCTGGGGGACGGGGGCGCGGGCTGCTCCGGCCCCGGGCGCCCCCGCGGAGCGCCGCCGGCCCGGGGACCAGCCGCGCGACCTCCACCTGCCGCGGCTCCCAAGCGCCTTTGCTCCGCCTCCTTTCCCCGCCAGCCGAAGACGCTTGACTGCGGTGCTTGGAGAGCCGCAGTACTGGGTCACGCCGGGGCTCCCGGCTGGCTGAGTCCGGCCGCACGTAGAGAACAGGGACAACGGGAGCCCTCGACAGCCGGGGAGGGCACCTCGGCTGCAGCAGAGGAATCCCCGCGGAGGTTTGGAACGCCTCCTGCTCGTATTTTCTGTTGGGAGACGTCCGTCGCTGCGAAGAGCTCCCCGGTCTTCCCGCCGTGGCCCGTCAGCAGCGGTACAGCCTCTTGGCCAGCCCGACGACTGAAGTGAGGTGTAGCGGTGTGGGCCGTCGCAGTGGTCCTGAAGGGCACAGTCTGTTTAGTTGAGGTGTGGGGAGGATGAGCCCCTGCCCAGCAGCGACTGGACTGCTCTCCGGGTTAATGCCTGCTCTGGGGCCCCGCCCGCTGGAGTTGAGGCTGCTTCCTTCCCCCAGATTCTGAAACATCCTCATCTGGAGGGGAATGAGAATGACCAGTGCCTCCGTAATTCGGTTACCTGTATCATGGGCCACACCATGCTCCCCATATAGTTTTTAAAAGATGCAGCCCTTAAAAAGCATGACAGATCAGTGCTTGTTTTTAATGCTGGTCTGTGGGTTAAATTATTCCCCCAAGGTTGTGACCTCACATCAGCCCACCTGAGTAGCGCTTTGGTGAAAAACTAACTAGTGAACCGAGCAAAAGAGATTAGAAGGCTTCATTATACATGAGCTAAAGATTAAACTTGTACAGACAATATTTGGCTGAAAATAAATTTGAAGGCCCTCCTTCCATTATGCAAATTAGACTTTGATGAGATAGCATTTTCCACCTGATTCTCAAGGTTCAGAAATTATCTTAACACGCTTGGCAAGAATGTAGGGGACTAAGCACATTCAAGCTTTTTTTGTGACGCTGTAGATGGGTACAGCTTATTGGAAGGGAGATTTTGCGAATCCTATCAAAAATCTTAAATGCGCATACCTTTGACTAAGCAATTCCACTTCTAAGAATTTCCCTACTGAAAGACTTATATGTGTGCCCAAAAACCTGTACAAAGATCTTGTTGGGACCTCATTTATAGAAACCATCATCCATGATGTACAACCATACCATAAGAATACTGTGCAGCAGTTCAAATGAATGTACTGATGAGTAAGGATTTCCAAAACATTGTGTTGAAAAAATAAAAAGCCATATGGATTCTGTATGTTGCCACTTTGGCTAAAAGAGAGAGAGAGAGACAGGCATACAAGCTTATATAGGCAAATAATAAGTCTGAAATAAAGCACAAGAAATACCAACAGAATTGTGGAGAAGGGGATGCAATCAGGTGTGGGAAACACTTCTTCAGTCACGCTGTATTTTGCACTCTTTTGCACTTTATGCTATGTGCACATTTTACTTCTAGAAACTTTCTGATGCAATTTACATAGTTCATAAAAGTTTTTATCTGTATTCACTTAAACTATTAACCCATAAAATTTTAAAAGCAAAAGGTGGTGAAGGGTATATTGATAGGAAGATAGCAAAATACATATACCAGCATTCTAAACCATTCTGTCCATTTTTTTTTAAAGATTTTATTTATTCATGAGAGACAGAGGCAGAGACACAAGCAGAGGGAGAAGCAGGCTCCATACAGGGAGCCCAATGTGGGACTCCATCCCAGGACTCCAGGATCACACCCGGGCTGAAGGCAGATGCCCAACCGCTGAGCCATCCGGGCGTCCCTGTTCTGCCGATTTCTAATCCTTTCTACCCCGTCCCCCCTTTGGTTACCAGGTTTTGGGTCATCTCACCAATTTCTCTCAACATGCACACATACCAGCTTCCCAGTTATCAGATACCAAGACCCTTCCCAGTTCCTCAAGTTAAAATCCTGTGGGTTTGAGCCTGTTGTTGTTGATTTAACCCTCCTCTCTCCTTCCTCTCTACCTCCGGTCAGCCTTCAAATCCTCTTGTTTCTTCTCAGATCCCATCCTTTCTCATCCTTACAGATAATTCCCCTGCCCACCCTGAGCCTCCACTCCCCGTGCCTAGATTACAACAGCCTATCAAGTAGATATTTACAGATGACTTTCCATATGGGTATCACTGTCCTTACAGCTCTGTTTGTGACAGTGGCAGGGTAAGCTGCAGTCCTAGACTACAAGGAGCTTGGTGTGGGACCATACCAGGGAGGGATACATGTGCACACGAATGAATGTATTTGAACGTTTGTGTGTTGGGGTGGCAACGTGACAGGAGGAGTGGTGAACTTTCAATAATACAAAATGAGCCTATGTAGTACAGAGGGCCTGGAATGCCATGCTTCTTTTCTGTAGACTTCAGGAAGCTTCTGAAGGCCTTTAAGTGGGAATGACATGAGCCATCTGTATTGTTTTGTTTTTTGAATCCTTATTCTCCCAGTTTGCATTGCCCATGCTATCCCTTGGTAGCTATCCCTTCCCAATTTACAGTATCTTAGCACCTCCTATACCAAGACTTTCTTTTGAAATATGGTCAAAGTTCAACACCAGGAAGCCTGCTCCATACCTATCGCCACCCCCAGCAGGTCCAGAGACCTTCAGCACACTTGCCTACACTATCTCCTGCTGTGTTGCTTAATTGCTCTGCGGTCACAGATGCATGAGCTGTCTCGCATCTATTTCATCAGGCCCAAAAGGTCAGGGAAGGATGCTGTCAATTTCCCCCCTACTTCAACTGCCAACAACCACCACTCCCCCAACAGCACACACCACCATCACCACCACCACCATAAAGGTTTGGTAAAGGAGACGCTCAGTAAGTTCATTATCTGACATTTAAAATCTAAACCTGTTACCTTTCGGGCTATCCACTACTCACTAAATTGACCTGGTCTCTTTCCATACTGACTCCCAATACCCCACAAGATTTTAAGTTCCTGACAGAGTCCACTGCGAACAACCCCCGTGGGTATTTGGTCAGTGCTGTGCCACGTCACCGGCCCTTCATCTGTTTGGTCTGAGGTTCAACAGCCAGGGTACCAATCTGTTAGCAAGTCTTCGACAAGGAGTCTCAACAAGGCAATATGGCCACATATACCTATACTTTGCTTCCCCACGCCCAGTTGGGGAATCCTAGTCATCAGACAACTTGGGTAAAAAATTAAGAGAGCCCCTGGACTTTGGGGGAACAAGATAGCAGGCGAGGAAGTAAATCACAGGGGTTCCCATAGATTAACACATGTGCTGTCTACACTGCTGGGCATCTAGAGGTGAATGATAATTATCAATTACTGACCCAAGTCTCTGGCGGGCCAAGCTTACTTGTCATAAAGTGCTCAATGAGAACAACCTCAGGGAAGAGGAGTCCAGCAAGGCCGGAAGTTCAGATGTCCAGTGCCTAGCCAAGTCCTACTTATCTTTCAAGCTGCAGATCTACAGCCTCCTCCCTCATTGGTCTCATTTTCATTGATCAGCAACCCTGACTCTGAACTCCTTTGGCACCTAGAGTCTGTCCGCTCAGTTTAACACGATTACATACTCTCATTTCATACATGAATGTTAGATGTCTTGTAAGCCTTATCTTCCCAGCCATTTAAGCTTCTGTTTGTTTAAGAGAAAATTCAAGAGACATTTACTTACTAAACAGTAGCACCACCAGTAATTTGAAATTTGATGATAAGAACACAGTACTGCTCTGGCAGACATTTTTTCATTAATGGTAGGAGTGTACTGGCTGCATCACTGGTGGGAAATGGGGTCCCTTGACCAACATGTGGTGAACCACATTGGCAATATTTAGAGGTTGTCAGCAGGTCCCCTTTGACTACATGTCATTCCTATACTTGGGGTTGCTAGATTTAGCAAAAGCACAAGGCATCCAGATAAGTTTGAATTTCAGATGAGTTTTTTAGTATATGTATGCCCCACACCTGCACCCCAATGTCTGCAACAGCCAAACTATGGAAAGAGCCCAGATATTCTTTGACAGATGAATGGATAAAGAAGATGTGGCATAAGTGTGCAATGGAATATTACTCAGCCATCAAAAAATGAAATCTTACCATTTGCAACAACATGGACAGAGGGTATTAGGGTAAGAGAAATAACTCGATCAGAGAAAGACAATTCTATGATTTCACTCCTATGTGGAATTTAAGAAACAAAACAGATGAATGT